CTGCCTCTGCTGGGCCTGGGTGCACATGGGAGGTTCAAAGCTGCATGCTAAGGCACCAAGCTCCAAGGCAGATCAGCAAAGGTCTCAAAGCACCCTGAGATCCACCTTCACCCATTGGCTGCCTGTTAGGCCCCGTCACTGAAAGAGCCTCTAGCAGTAGGCGAGTTTGCATGAGGTATGTTCTAAGTGAGTTACACAGGTAGGGGCGAGTGGTGTTCACCAGGTTGACAGAGATTCAAACTCAGTGCCAGTACTGAGTGGTCTAAAGCCACTCTGCAAAAGTCTCAGGGTACGTCAGGGCCAGCTACCACTCCACCTCCGGCCTGCAGACCTTTGTGGTAGAACAGGGTCTCAAGGAGTCATCAGGGTGAGGCCAGAATTCACCCAGGTAGAACTAAATATTTGGTCACATGGAGGGAGAGCTCTGCACAGGAATGGTAGCACTGGTGGAGGCATGGGTGGGGCAGGGATGGACCTCCTCAAGAGACTTCTGAGAAAGTCTGAACTGCAGGCCCAGGCTGGCCACAGCCAACAAACTCCTCCTCATGGCAGAAGCTTGGCAAGGCAGGGCCAAAGGGAGACAGGAAGGTGTGTCTGTGTATCCCTCACCCCCAGGTGACTCAGCATGGAAGGGAGTGCTCAACTCAAGAAAGATGGCATATGTGGGTGGTGTGGGAGAGACTCAGCACAAAGATATTGGCATCTGATCCTCTAGTCCTCTCCTCAAAGCCACATAACCAGTCTCTCCCTGTGTGACTCTGGTCTGCTCTGAGCCGCCATCCCTCTGCTGGAGCCCAGAGTGAGTGGCCACAAGAGATTGTATACAGTGACCCTTTAAGAGGGAGCCTGGCTTTCTAGCAGACTCTTGTCTCATCCTGGTAGATGGAATCCCAGATGATTTTCTCAGATGTTATACAGACTCCTCTTCCAGGCACTGGTGCTCTGGGATGGGGAGCCCAGCATGGGTTTGAGACCTCTCACTTCTCGGAGGGTACCTCTACAGCTGAGATATCCTTTCCAATTCTCAGCTGCCATATGTGGGTTCGGGGCCAGCCCTTTCATGACTCTGCCCTTCCTACCAGTGATGTGCTTGTTCTGTAAATCCCTGGTTATAAGACTTCTGTTCAGCTAGTCTTCAGGTGGTTATTTGGGTTGATTGTGCTATATTTTTGTTGTAATTCCAATTTGGTCCTGGGAAGAGATGAGTGGAACTTCCACATATTCTGTTGCCATCTTGGATGTCCAGTTTTGGATGCTGGAGGTCCAAGATCAGGGTGCCAGCATGATCAGGTTCTAGAGAGGGCCCTCTTCTTCCAGGGTTCTAGGTGCCTTCGCCATAGACATCTTTGTCATAAACCCATGGTTTCCTTTTCTATTCCAGAATATAATAGCAATTTAAATGTCTGCAACTTGGCATATGGATGAACTACAAGGTATTTTTCAGTTCTATGGTTTCATGACTAAACTTTAAGGAGAAAAATACAGCTATACTTGCTTTCATGTACATAGGGTTTTCTGTTAACTATACGCAAGAAACTGGCAACAATAGTAGTTCTTGGGGAAGGAAACTTACTTTTTCCTTGTACTAAGCATTTTTGCATGGATCTGTTTAATACCATGTATTATTTACTATTAATACAAATAATTTTTAAAACAAATACATTTTAAATGTAAGCAGACAATACATTTTACTTGTTAAAGCAAAGCCCTCCCTTTGTAAATGTTTACATTCTGTCCTTCTTGCTCTTGTTTTATTTGGGGGAGGGTAATAACATTCATTTTTCTCATGTAAGTAGCATTTCAAGCAGAAGTGCTTTTATTTCAAAGCACCATAATATGATGGTCTCTTTAAGAACACCTCTGCCGCCCTGGCCGGTTTGGCTCAGCGGTTGGAGTGTCGGCCTGTGGTACAGAGAGACCCGGGTTTGGTTCCCGCTAAGGGCACGTACCTCGGTTGCAGTTTGTCCCCGGCCCTGGTTGGTCGTGCGGGTGGCAGCCACTCGATGTGTCCCTTTCACATCGATGTTTCTCTCTCTCTCTCTTCCTCTCTCTCCCTCCCGCTCTATCTGAACAAAAAAATGGAAAAATGTCCTCGGGTGAGGATAAAAAAACAAACAAACAAAAAAAAAGAACACCTCTGCCTCCTGGTGTGAAAATCCAATAAATAAATAAATAATCCTGCAAAGTGATCACAGCCACCCATCAACTTTCATTAACATGATTATGTTCAACAGGACATGGGTTATGGGGACCTGACACCACTATTACAATTGACAACCTTGGAACAGATCCCCTTGCTCAGGCCTCAAAAGGACAGAGAGATAAACTGAACACTCGTAATTAGAAAGAGCCAGTGGGACCCTCAAAACTCAAAACCTGTGTAAACATGTCAGCACTGGCGTCTCGCCCTTCCTCTTCCTCTTCCTCACTTCTCCTCCTCCTCGCTCAGGTTGGCATTCCCCTGGAATGTGGATGTCAGCGTGTTTTGCAAAAGGGCTGCCAGTTTTTTGGATGTCTCTTTGAGAAAGGCGCTGCCCGGGTGGGCACTGTTCACGTGCAGGTGCAGTTCCTCCTGGATGGGGCCTGTGTAGCCACAGTCCTCACAGACATAGAGTCCCCACGTTGCTTGTAGGCATACTGCTGCTGCACCCCGTGGATTTTCTTCAGGTGGGACTCCAAGGAGCAGCTCCAGTGAAGGCTCTGTTGCAGACATCACATTTGTAGGGGCGAATGCCTGCATGTGTGTGGACGTGCCTCTTTAGGTCGAAGGTGTCACTGAAGCCCTTGCCACACAGGTCACAGCTATGAAGTGCCCAGTCGCTTCATGTGCCTGTGGTGAACAGTCTTGATGTGGTTCGTTCTTTAATTTCATATTTGTAGGACTTCCATTCAGCTTGATTTCAGGCGGTTCTGAAGGATGGTTGTTCTGTAGTTTAGTTGTAATTTTAATGTGGTTGTAGGAGAAGGCATTATAGCATTTACCTACACCACTACCTTGACTGGAAGTCTCCTTCTTGCTCTTCTTTACAACCTTATCATTAGTGATTTTTAAAAATAATTTTTAGGAACTGAGGGAGGTAGAACAGAGATACAGAAGGTTTTGATGATGGAAATTGCTCTTTATTTTGCAAATATTTTTAACTACCTGTGACAGGTCCTGGGCTGGGCACTTCCTTCTTTTTATATTATTATTTTTTCTTTATTGATTTGAGAGAGAGAGGAAGGGAGAGAGAGATAGAAACACTGATGGGAGGGAACATTAATCTTGATTGGCCGCCTTCTGCATGCCCGCCAGTGGGGATCAGGCCCACAACCTGGGCAAGTGCCCTGACCAGGAATCAAACCAGCGACCTCTTGGTGCATGGGTTGATGCTCAACCACTGAGCCATCCTGGCTGGGCAGGGCACTTCCTTCTTTCCATAACTACTAGAAGGCTTCTTGTGTAAACACCCAAGCATTGTTTTTTTACCCTTTGAGAGTTCTACATGCTTAAATGCTTCCCATAAGTGATGATCGGTTCTCCATGAATTAAGCAAAGAGCTCACCTGCAGGGAGAATCACCGGGGTACTGAGGTAAGCCCCAGGTGTGTGTTTGAGGCAAAAATTACATTGATGACCTACCTGTGGGTGAGATAGAGTGTAGCTGTACTGCTGGGGTGGGACGGGTAGTGATCTTGAACTAGATGTGCACTATTGAGAAAATAAAAGAAAAAGATAAAGATAAAAGGGGGGAGGGGTGGAAGGTGGTAGGAAGGGAGAGAGGCAATAGAAACTGATACAAAGACATTTTAACTCACAAAATTGTTGTATTACCCAAAAAAGATTTATAAACAGAATTTCGAACACACTAAAACAATGGTGTACCACCATCTAACACCCTACAGACCTCAGGCTAGGGTGAGATAGGCCACAAAACTTAAGGGAACATCAGAGAACTCAGTAATCACGATAAATATCTTAATAAAATATATTTAAAAATTAGTGTAATAATGTGTGATGAAAAATATCAAAATGTAAAATACAGGGTTAGTTTCTGGCTTTACCTTTTTTTTTCCCCTCAGACTCCAAAAAGCCTTGGGCACCCTACAGAAACTTCCTACTCAGGTACATCTTATTAATGATGTTTCCCAAAAGTTAGTTCTCACAACCCCTTTTACATCAGTAACTTTTCTTGAATGCCCCAGCATTTATCTGTAGCTCTCTTCTGTCTGAAAACTCATCTCCCTTGTAACTGGTAGTAATCTGATGGCAATCTGAATCATCTCAGATCCTTTCAGTTCCTTCCCAGACAGCAGTGGGCACTGGGCACCTCTTTGCTAAAAGAATGCAGAAATCACAGACCTTAAACGGCGACGAGCAGGGAAGGAACCCGGATGCATTTTGTTTGGTACAGAGTGTTGTTGTTTTTTAATTGAATATATTATTGCTAAGATTTTAAAATCAGAATATTTCACATGAAAATAATCTAAATCTCTTATTTCTTGGAAAATTAGAACGTCTAACAAAAGTAGGCCCAGAATCTTTCATGACAGCAATGGGCAATTCAGAGCAGAGTGGCTGTGCCCTTAGAGCTCTCTGTAGTTGGCCACCTCCTCCCTACATGGTTTAGTCATTCACATTGTCTGCCAGGCCGCAGAGCTCTTTGAGTTTGCGACCTAGGAAGGACGATGCAATGGCTAACACCCATCTATTGGGTCCACTCGTTCCCTCCTGGAGAATAAATGTTTTCCTTGCTGACCTTTTGGATGCAGTCTGGCACAGAGGCTCACAGAAACAGCTCCCCTTTCTAGCGGACAAACTTCCCGCAACCCATGAAACTTGCCCTGCCCTCGCACATTGGTTCTCTCCTGCTCTTTGCTCCAGAGTCGCCTCCCCTGCCCAGGGCCTTCCCGCGGTCCCCCACCACCTGCGCGCCGGAGCCCGGGAGGCGGGTCCCGGCCCCCAGCCACGGCTCTCCGCCGGGGGCCGGGAGCTCGAGCTCGCCCACGGCGGCACTGGGCATGCTCAGAGGCGGCCGCGGGGGCAGGTTTGCTTCGCAGGCGCTCGCACTCGGCGGCCGGCGGGCGCGCGGCTGCAGCTGGAGCTCGGGCGCCTGGAGTTGGAGTTGCCGGAGTTTCCCCCCCACCCCTCCTCCTGCGCGCGCGGCAGCCGGAGCCGGCGCGGAAGCCGCGAGAGGCGGCCGGCCAGCACCCGGTCCGGCCGAGACTTGTCCGGAGCCCGGAGCCCCGCGCGGGGCAGCCCCCGGGGAGGAGCCTCGCTGGCTGGGACGCGTGCCGCGCACTGGCGCTGCCGGGGCACGAGCCGGGCTGAACGGTAGGGCCAGGGTGTGGGGAGCGGGCGGGCGAGGCAGAGGCCAGGCCAGGGGGATGCGGCTGCAGCAGCCGCAGAGATTGGGGCTCCCGGCACTCAGTCCGATGCGGGAGGCCGGGTCAGGGACCCCACTGCGGGGCTAGAGGGGTAGGCAGGCGCCCAGATAGATGCTTTCAAGTCGACGGGCGGCGGGACAGGGGGCTGCGCGCCCCGGCACAGATGCTTAGTGCGCGCCGAGAACGGTTCGGGTCCCTGGTTACCCCCAAACCTGGTACCCGGCGTGCGGCAGGGTTGGGCAAGCCGCGTAGCGGAGCAGTTTCCTCCGAAAAAGTTGAGGATGGAGCCCTTATTTTCTCACCGTGCCCGCGGTACGATGGTCCTGAGAGTGCCGCCCGGAGCTCCCAGGGTGGAGGAGCTGAGTGGGTCGCTGCGCCCCTGGGCTGAGCTCCTCCACCCCCGGCTGAAATCCACGAAACACCCAGATCTTCGCTTCCCTGGCGTCGTCTAGGAAAATCATTCCTGCCAAAACTGAGGTAGGCTCTCCCGGCGGGCACGGTTCCCTGTCTCCAGGGCGCTTATTAGGGCGATGCCCCTTCCCCAGCCTCAGACGTGGCAAGGGCGCCGGGTTCCGTGTTAGCCCTTGTGAGGGTGCGCGCCAGAGTGGAGCCTCACGCACTTGGTGGGGCAGCGGGCTGGGGTAGGTGACCAGCCTGATTTTTCCTCCAGCCTTTTTTTAGTTTTACAGCACCCTACCATTCCCCACCCCACATCACCCCCCTACATCTTTGCAGAGGCAAGACCTGGAAGAAGAGGTGGAGAGTTTGGGTGGACATACTGTTCCTTAGGAGAGGAAGCCTAAGTCGTATCTGCCTTGGGCTCCGGCCCCAGAACTTCTTAAGGAATCCTCTCCCCTTTCTATATTCTTTAGGGGCTAGGTGGGAAGTAGTAGGGCCGGTGGGTCCACAAGAAGGTCCACCTTATCCCATTGGTTTCCTAAGATCGTGTTCCAGGCGACTCCAGGACCCTGGAAATGGCATTGTGTGGATTGCGAGGGTGTGGAGGATGCTGATGGTTTCTCTTGGCTCCACTTTTTTCACTTCTTGTTTTGAGTTTTGGGGTTTTGCCTGCACGCGAGTCAGAGCTGCGCTGTCATAACCCGAGGGGGTGGGGAGTGGAGGAGTTTCAGCTAGGCAGTGAGCCGCGGTTCGCCCGCCTCTGAGGCTGCTAGTGGGAATTCGTCCAGAAATGATTATGCAGGCTAGAAATATGCCTCTCTTTTTTTCATTTTGGCTGAACACCTTGGCTGTTGGGTTTATGTGTTAAGTTCTTAAAGGGGCACCCACACACTGCTCAAGTGCCATGTTTCTAATTTAGGGGCTCGCCATTTGTGCTGCATGTTTTTTTGTGTGTGTGCTATTTCCTAGGGGTAATCTGCTTTGGGGCACATTTTCAGATGTGGGAATCACCTGGTGTGGGTACCTAGGTTCCAGAACCAGACAGACCTGAGGTCAAGTTGTAGTTTTACAGGGGATGATTGTATTGGCAAACTGTTAGCCACTTAAACTTCAGTTTTCTCTTCTGTCAAATGGGGATAATAGTGACTTTATCTCCTTTCATTGAAGGGTTGGTGTAAGGCTTGAGTAAGATAATGGAAATGTAAAGCACTATTCATGTCTTACTGTGTCTGTGCCCTTTACTCTTTTTTTTTTTTTTTTTTAATTAACCAAGTCTTTTATTTTTATTTATTTATTTATTTTTGTTATTCCTCACAGGAAGATATTTTTTCCATTGACTTTTTTGGAGAGACTGGAAGGGAGGGCTGGAGGGAGAGAGAGAGAAACATTGATGTGTCTCATTGGTTGCTTCTTGTAACCCAGGTACGTGCCCTTGACCAGGAATCGAACCTGTGATTCTCCGTGTGTGGGCTAACACACTAACCACTGAGCACACCAGCCAGGGTGAATTAACCAATTATTTTAATTATAACAAGACATCTAAGTCTTCTCCCTTGTGCCCACTACTTACCAAGAGATTTAGTTGCTAGGGTCTTTGGAGTAGCTATTTATCTTCTTTTTCTCTTCCCTTAAACCCATCTCTTTTGATACCCAAGTCCTCACATTTATCTGTGGGAAGCATGGTGTATATTAGGAAACAGGGTGGGATCGCCTTATCAATGTTCACAGTCCTAGGTCCTGGTTTCAGATCCAAGATTGATGAACTAGTCAGCAGACCCTGAGCTGGAGCTCTGGCTTGACCTCTAACAATGACCTTGAACTAAGGATTCAATCTCTCATTTGGGAAATCAGTCTGTGAGCTTAAGCATCAGTGCTGAGCAGAGGCAAGAATAGGTGAGATTATCTCTGACATACTTAGTACGGGTTTCACCAAGCTCGTGACCCTCCGTCCTCTGCATCTTCCCCAATCTTAGGGCAGTGGTTCTCGACCGTAAGCCTCAGAGTCACCTGAACTACACCCATAGAATCCCTGACTGCTGGGGGGAGAGAGAGTAAGAGAATGAGGTTTGTTCTGAGATGCCACTATTTTAATAGCTCATCTATAGAGACAGAGTATTTTAGGAACTTGCCTAAAGCATTTTATATTTCTAATACCTGTGCCACTTACCATTGTCCAGTTTTAATAATTCCGATTGCTCTTTAAATGATTTCTCTCTCTCTCTCCCTCTCCTTCTCTCTCACACACACGTAAAGATAGGCTCTCCCCTTATTTTTGTACCGTAAAGTACTTAGTCTTTGGTTTCCAGGTCACTCTTGGGTAGACTGAGATTGGTGATCCTGATAGTGATAAATCCAACAACTACCCCATTTCTTTTCTTTGGGAATTTCAAGCATTTGTAGAGTGTTCTGGCAGCTTGAACCTTAAGAGTGGAGAACTTATGAGCAAGTCTGAAAATAATTGCAGTGTGGTGTCTTCTCTGAGTGGGCAGCTTGCCCAGGATTCGGGGGAGGTGACGTGCACCCCATGGCAGGTGTCCCATAGTGGTCAGATCTGGGGAAGGCCTGCTGTTCCTTCTGAAGAATGATGGTGTTGGCACTCACTGAGATGCTCTCTCACTCTCCAAGGGTGAGAAAGTTCGACTTTCAGGGGCAGCTGTGCAGTATCAGTGCTGCTTGGTGTGATTTAGCTTATAATTAAGCTCTTCTCCTTGTCCCTTAAGCTATGGTCCTGGACTGAGAGCTGACCATGACTTATGGTGGCCTAGATTGTAGCATTGCATTTTAGCTGCTTTGTATCCGAGGGGCTTCTGGGTCCTGGTTGAGTCAGGAGGGTGCCTGAGATGACATCCTAAGGCAGGAGGAGGTTTCTGTAGCACCCAAATGAACTAGGTATAACAGGACATCTGCCCTTAAACTAGCCTTGTGTTGCTGTGCCAGACGGGGTCCCAGCTGACCATCATGCTTTATCTCAGCTTTCCATGTGTGCTTTGTTGTAGTTTTAAAATGATTAGCACTAGAGAAACTATCAGTAAATCAGAAACCTATTCAAAAACTCAAGTGTGGCACTTAGTGCTTCAGTGGATAAACCTGCAGGGCCCACGTCCATCTTCCTGCCTGTAATCAGCACTTAAGAAACAAGCTTCAGGTTGTACTTCTTAAGCTTTACTAGCTCATTTAAATGGTTTGGGTACTTAACCTGAATAGGGAACATTTCTGTTTTAAAATTCTTTCCCATAACTTGATGTTTATATTTTGGGTGTTACCACAACTTTCCACCACTAGGTTTTCCAATGTCAAGGAAGCTTCTTTCCTTATCTCTGTTGTTCACTGTTCTGAGCACATGACCACATGGTATCTTTGCTCCCATGGATAAGTCTGTTGTGAGACGGTCATTATGATACTTTATTTCTCTTTGGTCATCAGGGCTGTTGTCACTGGGTCATAGAGAGTCACGGCCCATTCCTGGAACGCTGTTCTCAGCCTTCCTAGAGGGTGCTTTTAAACTAAAACTCAGGTTGTACTGCAGTTGCTCAATTCTAATACACATTTTTCTCCACATTTCATCATTTTCCGACTTCAGAAATCCAGATGGCTCTTAAAATTTGAACACACTTCATGTATGGTTTCTTTTTTCTCTTTCTGTAACCTAGCTTGTTAGTAGACTGACTTCCAATGGATGGCATTCTAAAACAAAGCAAATCTGGTTCCTTGTCCCAGTAGAAAATATGGCTTCTCTTCAGTACTTTCCAGCTGATAGAATTGAGCAGCACTTGAATCAGCTCAGCAGGTCCCGGAGTATGTCGGAAGAAGGGTGTTGGGGTGGATGTTAATAGGTGTGCGTTTGTAAAGGGCAAATCGATCTGGAAGCACTGCCTATTATTTTTCCTTCTCTCAGACATTCTCCACATGTGCACCGTCATTTCAAAGGCTCTGAGAAGTACTGCAGTTAACGATCTCAGCAACAAAAACTTGGTTGTATTTACTTAATTAAACATTTCCCAGAACACAGACCATGTTGAGGATTTGTGTGTATCTTCTAGGACTCCGTTACTGAATTGGCACAATCCAGCAATTCAAGTAAGTTGTTTAATACCATCTGTGAATGAGGAGGTTCCACCTAGTATGTCTTTACTTTTTTTTTTTTCTTTCTTGATTTTTAGAGAGGAAAGGAGAGGGAGAGAGAGATGGAAACATCGACGAGAGAGAACACTGATTGGCCGCCTCCTGCATGTCCCTCAGTGGGGATCAGGCCCACAACCTGCGCATGTGCCCTCACCAGGAATCAAACCGGTGACCTCTTGGTGCATGGGTCGATGCTCAACCACCAACCCACACTGGTTGGGCTCACCTAGTATATCTTTAAAGTAAAGGGCATTCGTTAAATATAGATGTTAATTGATGAATGAACTCTCCAGGTGCTGTTTTTTATGTCAGAGTAGAGAGAAAACATTTTAAGCTGTGGTGGCTAAGACAGTCTTCATGGAAGGACTGGACTAAGACAATGTAAGTGATGGATGGCACTTTTGTAGAGGAAGAGGGGTGTCATAG